GCTCTCTCTAGCGCGTACTCTCTCTCTCTCTCTCTCTCTCTCTCTCTCTCTTCTCTCTCTCACCTCTCTCTCGCGTACTCGCACACTCTCGCTCTCTCTAGCGCGTACGCTCTCTCTCTCTCTCTCTCTCTCTCTCTCTCTTCTCTCTCTCACCTCTCTCTCGCGTACTCGCACACTATACCAGCGCATATATGCAGGCGCGCATGCTATCTCTCTCTCTCTAGCGCGTATACGCGCGCTCTCTCTCTCGTGCGCGTGTGCGGAGAGTTCAGAATCGATTTTATTGCTAACAATCGTGAGAAATATGGAGAAAAAGTGGAAAATATTTCTTGACTTTTTTTGCGAGATAGTGCATGCAAAATATCGAAAATCGGGATTTTCCATATCTCGACGGAGGTTACGTCGGGATTCGGGAATTTTGAGCAAAATCGCGATAATCCCGACGAAATCGGGATGGTTGGACACCCTGATATAACATAACACTAGCTCTTGTACAGGGGCTTGACTTTTCTGTGTCACGGACACCATTGAGAATCTAGTCACAAGTGAAAGCTACCCAACTATAACCCTTGTTTGCCACGACACATGTGAACACCTGTGGCGAACAAGGGCTAGCATATAGCTCTAGAGCTCTATAGCACAAGTCAGTGGTGCAATATAGGAACTTGTAAGTGAGAATAGCCATGACACTGCCCTTGTAAAGGAAAGGATACCCAAAGAATACCCTGCAGTTAGGGTACCTTGTCATTTTACCATAATGTTTTGCTTTAATTTCAGTTCCTGAAGAAGTGTGGCGAATAAATCTTGATGTCCCGGAAGATTTCAAGGAGGTATCGTTTGGTACAGACAATCGTTGGTGGGAGCAGGTGGCACTAACAAAGTTGTTACTGTCTTCAAACAAGCTGGTGGAGCTGTCTGAAAACATTCGATTGGTCTCTGCTATTACTATTTTGGATGTGAGTGTCAGGTTATATAACTTACCTGCTTATAACCTGCTTATAACTTATAAGTTGCTATCATATTGCTTAGTATTAAAATAATAACCTATATATACTATATCTGTGGGGATGAACCAATGTAAATCGGAATATATATATTATTATATATATTTAATTTTAGTTTTTATATTTAAGTTTAATAGAAAAAATACGTGCAATACAATTGATATTTCCCATAAGTCAGTGTATATATGCACATGCATATCTTTTCATATTCCAATTATTGTTTAAACATCGTTTTATGCCTCGTCTGTATTTGTGGAATTTATTAGTTTGTTTCTAAGAATGATCAAGTGCACATTTGCTTTCAACACTAGGTCCATGATAATAAGTTAACCTCACTACCTGACACTTTGGATGAGTTAGTCAACCTTCAAAAATTAAATGTCAGGTTAGTTTCATTATATTGATCTGATTTAAAGGCATACTAGGCCCATTGATTATGCAATGTTGATGAATGCTAGAGTAACTGGCACCTTGTGTAGTTAATAAGTACATAACCTTGCATCCAAACGCGTATTAGTTTGTCCAATATCACTGCTGGTTACTAAGAAATGTCTGATTGAAATCCACAGTCCAAGAAATCAGTTGTTTACAGTTTCAAACCACTGCTGGCGAAGCGGGTGTGATAGATCATACAGATTTATCGTGCACCGGACATTTTCGCACACATGCTCGGCCGTACGCAATGCTATCATCAGTGATTTCGTAAACACGGACGCTCGTGATAAGGAACTTTTTGTCAGGGTTGTCCATGTGCGTTCGTGATTAGTACGTGTGTTTTACTCCATTTCCATGTTTAGTCTGTGGCCGTGGTTACACCGCTGACACCTCCATTTCATCTGATGTCCAAAACATACGGGCCGCACAAATGTTTACGTCATCGCTTGACTCCTGAATGACATTTACGGCACATAAATGAATATCAACAACCGATTTCAAGTCTTGCTTGTAATGTAACCAGCAGTGATATTGAACAATCTAGTACGCGTATGGCTATAAGGTTATGTACTTATTAACTACACAAGGTGCCAGTTACTCTAGCATTCGTCAACATTGCATAATCAATGGGCCTAGTATGCCTTTAATGCACTTTTTAATATCTACTTCTGTCATGACAATAAATGTAGTATTTATTTTATAATTGAATTAATAGGTTTATGCAGTGCCATTATGTGAAATGGAATTTTAATATTTTCGAATTAAGTAGTCAATTCCAGAAGTTTCTATACGATTTCCCATTTATATAGTCTATATTTAAACCTTTACCAACTATTAAAATTTTTCGTATTGCAGTCACAATGAGTTGCAGAGCTTGCCAAGCGCTGTGTATAGATGTAAGAATCTGCTTTCTCTACATTTGGAATATAACAAGATCAAAGAATTAGATGATGACATTGGCAACCTATTCTCCCTCCACGACTTGGTATGGATTCAATATAATATATAATATATAATTATATAT